TTTTGTTTACAGAATTATGGGCATATAAAAGATCTCGTCTCTTTACTGAACAGATTTGTGTCATTATTACAGTCCTATGTATCACATGATCCACAACGAGCATTGAAATATCTTCAGAAGCACGCACATGCTTTACAGTAAGTTATTTTCATAAACGTAATAAATGTAAATAATTTACATTTATTACGTTTATATATACGTATAATTTATATACAGGGTCCGCCAAAAGTCCCGAGCCGGCTGAATATTTCAGAAAATATGCATTTTTGAGAAAAATGTTACAAAAGTTGTAAGGTTTAAAAAGATCTATTCACATCCGCTTGACTTTGGATGGCGCCACAAAGATCAGGTCAAGGTCAAAAATGAATTTTTTTTAAATGGAACACCCTATTTTTGATGCCAGAATTTAATAGCTGGTGTCAAGAGCTTTCTAAAACACTATAATAAAGTTATTTTTCATTAAGTACTTTTCGAGTTATAAGGCTTGAAAGTTGCAGTACCGGTATTAGCATTACGCAAGGTGTCCGATCGATGGCTAAACCTCTTGAATGTTATTCAGGATCATGTCCTGGATAACATTTATCAAGAATGTTGTTCAAAGTCATTGGAGAGCGTATCTGTTATTTTCATTTTTGCACTAAGAATTCATTTTTACGTAAAAATGAAAATAAGAGATACAACCTCCAATGACTTTGAACAACATTCAAGAGGTTTAGCCATCGATCGGACACCTTGCGTAATGCTAATACCGGTACTGCAACTTTCAAGCCTTATAACTCGAAAAATACTTAATGAAAAATAACTTTATTATAGTGTTTTAGAAAGCTCTTGACACCAGCTATTAAATTCTGGCATCAAAAATAGGGTGTTCCATTTAAAAAAATTAATTTGACCTTGACCTGACCTTGGTGGCGCCATCCAAAGTCAAGCGGATGTGATCAATGAATAGATCTTTTTAAATCTTATAACTTTTGTCTGAAACATTTTTTTCAAAAATGTATATTTTCTGAAATATTCAGCCGGCCCGGGACTTTTGGCGGATCCTATATATGTATACATATATACATATAATTTACATGCGTATACAGTGAGTTGCAGGTACATTATTCAAACGTACCTGCTTTGAGAACACTCGTATCAGGAATACCGATGCCGAGGGAGGGAGAAGATATGGATGATATTTTAATCACCGTAACTCCCGCGCTACATCCGCCAGAACCCACTATTCCACAACACTGGCAATCGCTGCTGGCTACACTTGCCAAGTTGCACGGTGAAGGTATGAAAAGTAACGCTATTAAACATCTTTATTTAAATTATAAAATTGTTCAATTATATATATATATATATATATACACACACACATGGTGTCCAACGCTTGAATATCCTTGGATCCTGGAATTATACTAGAATTTTATGTATTCTGGAAAATTCCTGGAAAATCCTTGCAATTTCAGGGTTGGCCTGGAATTTATTATTCTTTCATTTCTAAAAAAATCAGAGCGTGAAAAAAGAAATAATAAAAAGAAAAGTTGTGTTTGGGCATAAATCCTTCCTTAAAGGTGCAATAAGTTATCAATAGAAAACTTGAATTTAATGTCTAAAATAGAACATAGTAAAAAAATCGTTTGTGTTGACAGAACGTTTCTTTGATATTATTTATAAAGCAATAAATAATAGTTCCCAATTTGTTAGCGTTTTAATTCATTCGTATAGAATCCTAACTTGAATTCAAAACGTATAGTATTGCACGAATCGATGAAAATTATATAATGAAGATAATCGATGGATAAATCCTGGAAAAATCAGGATTTTTACCTGAAATGTCCTGGAATTATTCTTGAATTGACTAGCCAGATTTTACTGGACACCATGTATATAAAACACAAAGAATTTATTTATCGTTTTTTTATAAGCGCATTAAGGGGTAACGCCACTCTAGAATTTTCAAAAATCGATTTTTTTTGCATTTAAATGATGCTTTAGAGTCTAAAAATGAGGTACCTTGGGGCGGAATCCATAGACGTTGCTCAAGACTCGAGATGGTACTTCTTAAAATATCACAATTAAAGTATCAAATATTTTAATTATATGAGAGAATTATATTAACGATTGCTCCTCTGTAGATGTACTCAATGCGCTTCAAGAAATCGAGCATGTGGCATTGCGAAAACCTTCAGTTTTGGAGCCTATAACGGACAACATAGCAGAATTGCTTGTATCACCGCAAAGTAACATCAGATCGCTCGCTCATAGTCTACTCGCCAGAGCATTGAAATATCGTCCTGCATCGAACGCGAACATATTATCGGCGTTTCAAAGGTGCTTGGACAGTCACAGAGCGGATGTTCTTATGTCAGCTTTAGAAAAATTACCGGATATCGTATTATGCATGCAAGGTAGAATCGATTTCTGTAACAAAATAGATTTACATATCTTAATGTTGAAGTATAATAATAATTTTACAAACTCAAATCTTTTTCTTTTTTACATTGTAGAACACGCTTTACCGTTACTGCAGAGGGTGTTCGAGTTGGGAGTAAATTCGAATGTCAACACGATACCTTATATCACTAAGACTATAACTCTGTTAAATACACAGCAAGGTTGTTAACGTCTGAAACTGTTAGTTTTGTAAATATTTGTAAAACTTTTTTACGATTAAAATAGATCAGTGGAAGATTTTTACCTCTTTTCTTCCAACCTATTTATATTTAAGCTGTAACAAAGGATTAGTTATATTATAAAATATTAGTAATATAATTATTTAAATATAAATGTGAGAATATATAATATAAAATTTTATTTATGTTTTGTATGACCACAATATATATACATATATTCTCTTAAAGTTTAATATAATTGTATGTTTATTGAAAAGCTTCTGAGGGAACGTCATTGACTGAATAGTTCTTCATAAAAGTAGTAATCGCGATTTTTATATTCCACTCTGCTTCCTGAAGATATTTGTAACAGTATCGAATATTCATCGTAGTAAGTTCACGTAAAAATCTAAGCAGTTGTTCCTTTTCAGTCACACTGAGTACTGTTGGAATAAATTTAGGCACGACCCTTGGATCAAATCTTATTTCATTAGTTGCGTTGAGGGGTATACCATCGATGTAACACAGATCATTAATAATACAATATTCATTGTCTTCTTTTCGTGTAATAATGAAAGTTCTGTTGAACAGCATGGGTGGACAGATTGACAATCGATATGCAAATAAACCTTGCATAGAAACGGCTAAACAATTATCTTCTTCATACAACAAGTCGATACAAAATGTTTTGAGATAGTGTATTGTTGGTGGTTGCTTTTGAAGGGCAGTGATTATTTTTTCAGGTCCTCGAAATAGAAATTCGTGACACTTGGCACAATCGGAGATTTTATACCAGTTTCTATTCATAGAAAATGTCTTAACAATCTCTTTATGTATATGATTCGTTATATTATTGCCTAACGACATGGAATAGAATGCACTTTTATCATACAGGCCATTCATAACTATTCTGTCATCTTGGTCATATAGCGCGAAAAAATGCTTGACAAATTGTCTTATCAAAGGAATCTTAGTTCCGTTGCCTAGATAATAACTCTGTATGCTCGGCACAAACTTATTCTCCATTCCTATAACGATCCCATCCAAGATCTGTAAATGTGGGAAAACGTTCTTCACGGCCTGTATGTAGTCCTGAGAGTTGGTGTATTTTGTGCACAATGGATTCCCATCCAACCAAAGTTCGCTTATCTTAAACTCGCAGAAATAACGTAGATATTCCACGTCCAAGATTTGATTGTGTCTCAAGTCCAACTTGGTTAGGTGGAAATTGAAGAACTTATCGAACAGGATAACAGCTGTGAGTTTGTTATATCTCAAGCTCAACTCACGGACGGCCAGTTTTGATTGTTGAGGATCACGAATGCTCATACTTGTCCTGCTGCAGCGCAAGACCAGATCAAAGATCTTTGGTATGGAAATGGGACAGAATATCGAGCCCAAAGCCCTCTCATTCTCGAAGTCGTCCAGATTGAATACCTTTCTTATCGGCTCGTACCTACACTGCAGGGCATCTGCTATAATCTTGTTAGTGTTCACTCGTAGCTCATGTGCGCCGAGGAATCCCAGGACGATGTCTATATACAGGTCCTGGCCGGTGGGCAACGTTATGGTCAGTCCCTGCTTCACTAGATTCTCTATGGTGTTAATGGTACATTTCGCGAGGAACGTGGTATTCTTGTCCTCGACGGTGTACATGATCGGTATCAAGAGTGCCGGTTCACAGGTGATTACAATGGCGCGCAGAACATCGGTTCGCCTATATATAGCGCCGTTAAAGACGATGAACTTGTGCCACAGATCCGTGCGATTCGCAAGTGCCTTTTCGCATTTGTCGAAGGTCGGCTTGATATACGTGATCCGGTGCGGCTCCCATGACGCTTGACTTATTGCTGACGTTGTTGTTGATGTTGTCGGCGATGTTGACGTTAATGTCGATGATACCATTATTTGTATCGTGAGAAATAACGACTCCTCCTAACCTCTCTGCACCACGGCTTGCCTGATTGACATAATAATTGGCCTGTTTTTTTTGGATGAACTTTTGCATCAGTTCATCTTTCTTCCTCTTATTTCCTCCTGGAGAGAAAAGGAAGAAAGATGAACTGGTGCAAAAGTTCAGCCAAAAAGAACAGGCCTAATTTTACAACGGATATATAATAATTACATTAATGAATAGATATCAATATTTCATTACAAACTTTACTCTGATTTTAGAGACATCCACTAAAGTAAATCCTTTCTCTTGTTTATAAACTTTAACTTTCGTGATTACTGGTTAGGTTAGATCAGATTGTAGGTTAGATCAGATTGTAAGTAAAGTTAGATTGTAAGTAAAGTTAGATTGGATATATAAATTAGAAAGTATCGATATATATTCGATTACTCGATAATCTCGATAATCGGAATGTGACTCACTTCACAACTGTATATATTACCTCTGTGCTCTGTTGACGTATATGGTTAGAAACGTTGTGCAAGAAAATACAATAAATTTCACGACGTTGTTGCAGAAATTTGAGGTAAGGAGTCACAATTCTGTTCAACTTCTTATTTGATTTATTTTGAAAAAGGTGATTTTTCAGTGCTACATAAAAATAAAGTATAAAGCTACACATTAAGAATTGATCTTTTGTCTGCATGTAACATAATTATGTACCTGTTAATATAAAAATCGAATGCAATAGAATGAAAATGTCCTATAAAATAAAAATGTTTCACTTGAAGATTTTCGGGATACTGTTTTGTAACTTTATCTATAAAAGACATTGTCTTGATTTATTTTGAAGTAAAAAGATAATTTTCTATCAGTGCTGTATGAACATAACTCATAAATTATTAGTCCATATATTGAATAAAATATATCAAATTAAATATATATTAAAAATTGATTTTTCGTTTGGCTGTAATATAATTATATGTTAGCATAAAAATCAAATGTAACTGTTAGAATACAAATTTTCTTTCATTTAAAGGTAATTTTCTATCAGTGCTATAAATGTAAAGCATAAAATGTTAGTCTACACATACATTAAAAATTGATTGATTTTATATCCATATGTAATATAATTGTATATCTGTTGATATAAAGATCAAATGCAATTGATAGAATACAAACTTTCTTTTACTTAAATATTTCCAGGATTTTGTAATTTTATCCATACAAGACATTGATAACTGAGGATGTCGAAAGTATTGGATGAGGAATTGAAGCAAGCCTTCTCGAAGTTGCACGAGAAGATGGTAGATACTAAGCAAAAATTGAAGTTGGCCGATATACAAATCGAGAAATTACGGCGTACGAAGCAGCGGGCAGAACTCACCACAAAGGAAATCAGCAGCTTACCTGAGGATACAAGAATGTATGAGTCTGTCGGTCGAATGTTCCTTCTAGATAATATGAACAACATTAAGGGAAATCTGGATAGTAGAATAAAAACGTCCGATGAGAAGATCAAGACGCTAGAGAATAACAAAACGTATCTACAGCGGAATTTGAAGGAGAGCGAAAATGAAATCAGAGAAATGATTCAGCAAAAGCAGAGCAAGGAGACTTCGGGTTAAATGAGATTTGCGCATCAATGTGTGAATGTGCTATTTCAGTTTTTTCTCATCAATCATATCTTTTGAACCTTTCGGATTATTATTTGGAACATGTATCTGTAAATATAAAAAATCTATAATCTGTTGGCTTGACGTCACGTTTTGCACGTTTCATATATTTTTGTAATTGTGACATTTTTTTTATATACTGTATGTGGAATAAAATATTGTTAATGAACTCAACAGTTTGTAAGAGTTAAATCAACTCGATTATTTTTAATTATGAAATTGTAAGAAAAATATACAAGAAACAATATTGTATGTATTTAAATGATTATGATTAAATAAACATTTTGATTTTATAGTTTAAAGGATATATGTTGAGAGAAATTGTTTTCTATTTTATAACTTGACTCTATTATTGTTCATTATTTTCACAAAAGCGAAATAAACTAAATAAACGAAATAAACAAATGAACTAAAAATGTGTTACATTATATAGCCTTTTTATCAATAATTGATCGAAAACAAAAAAAAAATTATATTAGTAAAGTTATTATGGACTTTATTTAATAAATGTAGATAACTAGCCGATAACATTTAATTATCAACATTAAATTAAATGCGAAAATTTTCTCAAGATTTTTTAATTTCAATAAAAGATTTGCTATTGATAATAAAATTATCTAACTGGAATATGGCGAAATCTATTTTCATGTTTGATATTCTGACTTTGAATGTGTGTCATAGTATGTACGCTGCAGATCCGGTAACTTAACCTTCTTTTGACCAAAGTTGACCAAAGTTAAATTTCGAGCCGTGCAACGCAATGTCGACGTTAATATTAAGATCTATTGCGTCATTAAATAGAAGTACTCATAATGTCTTTACAAAGGTAATCTTTCTTAAAAAGTTTATTAATATTCTAAGCCAACGATAATATTTTGTAAATACAGTAAATGCAGGAAGTACTCGTACAGAAGAGATTTTTATTAAAAAAGCTTTGTAAAAAATAAACACTAATTAGCAATTTATTAACAATGAATACAATGGATGCGTTCCGATATTTGCTGCCAGTACTGAAAATCTATAGCGTTCGTAATATATACTGTATAGTTTCGGCAGTGAAAATCGGAACGCATCCAATATACGGTATGTCTCTCGAAATTATTTCATATAAAAAGATGTAATAATTAAAATATATTATCTTAATACTAGCTAAGCGAAAATTACAAATTGTACTATTTGGATGTACTAAAAATATTCGTATAATCAAGAAATTTAGCTTCTGAGGTCCGGTTTTCATTTTCTGATTAACTTATGGTTAGACTTAACTTAGGGTGCATTTGGTTTAATGATACAAGTCAATACAAGTGTCATTTTGTCTTTGTTACTCATGGAATGTAAAGAAAGATAGAGCAACATTTGTGTTAACTTGTGTCATTAAATTCAAGGCATCTCTGATCATCTCTGATATTTTATTTGATGGGCTTCATATATGATGATATCACAAATAAAGCCCATTGGATGAAACATCAAGTTTATGCTTTATTACAAGTTAATGAAAAATTTCTTAAGAAAATTTAACTAAGAGCATAAGCATTTCTTATAAAAATCCTATCTGTATGAATATTTCTTGCATTTACTATATGGGTATGTAGATCTTAAGTTTAATATTAAATATTTTTTTTAAATAATTAAATTTTTTGTATTTAAAGTTATTAATTTAATATACACTTATATTTGTTATGGAATTTTCTCCAGGCTTAATTAATAATTTTTTGTTTACTCAGTTTAGATACATGAACACGTCGAATGTGTTAAATCAACAGTCTATTTTACCCAAGAAATCCACAAAAATAAAAAAGAAATCGCCTATTACATGGAAAAGCTTGACAATCTCTGGTATTATTGGTACTGGTCTCATATTATATGTACATCATCTTAGACTGGAAAAAGATAAGGCTATAGCAAAAGAAAGAAGGCGGCAGTTGGGCAAAGCTAAGATCGGGGGCAAATTCGAGTTGGTGGATACAGAGGGAAAGACAGTGAAATCTGATGATTTCTTAGGGCAATGGGTGTTGATATATTTTGGATTTACGCATTGCCCAGATGTTTGCCCCGATGAAATTGAAAAGATGACAAACGTAGTAAACACTCTTGGTGAGTGTCAGATTTAAGTCAATTATAATAATTAAAAATACTCTCGTAGTCTTACATTTGGTTAATAGAGTACATGATTTCTGTTTTTCAGAGAAAGAACACAACTTCAAAATACAACCGATTTTCATATCAGTGGATCCGAAGAGAGATACGCCCACTGTTGTCGGCAAGTACCTGAAAGAATTTTCTGATAAGATTATTGGTCTTACTGGCAGTATTGAACAAGTTGGAAAAACGTGCAAGGCGTACAGAGTTTACTATAGTAATGGACCTAAAGACCAGGATGAGGACTATATTGTTAGTATATTATGAATTAGAAGTAATTTAATAATTGTACAGGTATTTTAGTAACAATAGATTTGACGTTAGATTTCCTTTTTCTAGGTGGATCACACAATTATTATATACTTGATAGATCCAGAAGGCTTGTTTGTAGATTACTATGGGCAGACACATGATGTAGAAAAGATCGTGACTAGTATCATTATAAATAAGTTGAAATATGACCAATTAAAGGACGATACTTCTTCCTGGTTTCCGTCATTGCCGATCAAGGGAGTGTTATAAACGTTGTGACATTCCTATGTACAGATAATTTGTAGTCAGTATTGTGCTGCAGGAGATGTGCATATAGTACATTAATATTATATCATATATATGTATACACAGAGTGTTAGTTAAGTATATTGCCATACTCAGCAGAGCGATTCTTTGGTTTATAGTATTTCAAGTAAAAAAGTCCATATAAACATGTGTCCTAAACGGCTTAATTTCCGAAATAAAAAAATTTAAACGTGTAGTAATAATCTGTTTATTTGAAAGAAATACAGCTTGAACTAGTCAAAAACTAGTCAAAAACAGAAAAACAAAAAACAAGCTTCAATTCTTCTGATGAAATAAAACAATTAGATGAATTGTCCACAATTGTGAAAATATCCACCTTGCGCCATCGAGCTTTCTTCTCAAAGATTAACGTACACGCTCAAAGATCAGAACTGAAGTTTATTTTTGATTTTGTGACCTTGACTTTGACTTTGTCACTTTGATTACGATTGTGCGAATGGTAACTCACATGAAGCAAGGCATATTTATGCAGGAAGATATCTCCAACGCAATTTATCGTTTCATCAAACATTTGCGAATATTCACCTGTATTTCGAAAACTAAGCCGTTTAGGACACATGTTTATATGGACTTTTTTACTTGAAATAAATCAAAGAATCGCTCTGTTGAGTATGGCAACATACTTAACTAACACTCTGTATACAGGGTATCCGGAAAATCGAGGTCAATACTTTGGAAAGTGATTTGGGATCCAAAAAGAAGGAAAAAAAGCTATATAAACATAGATCTGGAAATAAGTCGTTTCCGAGTTATAATTTTTATATTAAAAAAAATTGTAATTTTTCATAATCACAATCGTAATTTATTTTATAGTGTTTTAACATAAATAACTACATTTCAGACTATTTTGGCGACCAGGATGCACCACGTGGAGGTATAGTCCGCTTGGCATCCCTCTAGTGAAGTAAGAAAAATTAAAAATAAAGAAATAAAAAAAAGAAGAATGCCAAGCGGACTATGCTTCCATGTGGTGTATCCTGGTTAACGCCAAAATAGTCCGAAATGTAGTTATTTATGTTAAAACAAGGCGAATACAAGCGTCCGACCAGCTTACTCATGTACTGCTGCCGGCAGGACGGCCTACCGTCCTCACCGATCGCATGACACGGCGGGCCGCGAGGTGCGGGGATGGCCTGGCAAGCGAGCCACTCAGAACGGCGCGCATGGGGAGAAGGATAGCGCTTGAGCAGTAGGCTGGTCGGACGCTTGTATTCGCCTATCTTTAAACGTTAATATCTCGTTAAATATTGCGTCAACTGCAAAATGGTACAAAACTGTTTTGTTCCCCTTGATCCAATCTACGTCCCCATTGTGTTTCGATCCGTTTTTTTGAGATACCCTGTATATATATGTAGGATATAGATGTACAAATAATTATTTTTTAATGCATTAAACATTGTGAATATAAAAGAAATTAATTGATTTTTTTAAATGGAAATTAGGCCATAAAACTGTACATAAGTTGTGGATAATAAAAAATTTATTATATTTATCTTTTTAAATTATTTTAATATATCATAATTTATACATTAATCGGTTTGTGTAAGTTGTACATCATATTTGTTAATCTTAATACAAGTATATACACATTACATACACATAGTGAGAGAGCTTCGAGGTAACATGTTTAACCGAATGTACATATTTTCAGAACCAAAATATTTTTATTATCTTAAAACTGATAATACTCTTCACATTAAGCAACTATCGATGCTTTCCTTAAGAAATTTGCTAACATTTATTATCTGATATACATATTTTTAAACATATTTATTCTTAAAAACTAGGATTTGTTGAATAACATTTTCAATTATATTGTTGCACACTTAAAATAGCTTTTTCTCATTGATAATTTTTTTATGGGATATTTATGATAAATAATGAATGAAGGAAATGAAGGAGATCCTGGGCCTATTCCGTAAAAATAGAACTTATAGCATTCAGAACCTGGTCCACAATGTGCTCTTTGCTTCCTGTTCCTTGTCTTTTCTTTTTTCCTTTTTGCCGTTCCATGTTTTTTGTCTTTTCCAAAGTTTGTCAATGTTTATCTCGGGCGACAGAAAACAAAGAAACAGGATAAGAGGCAAAAAGGCAAGAGTAGTAAAAAGTGATAAAAAACAAGAAACAGGAAGCAAAGAGTACATTAGAGTAAATCAGAGTTAAACTACATAAGTATCTATAAAAGCGTTTTATAATGTTTACGCAATGTTTGCAATACAGCATAGTTGCAAATAGTATTGCTGATAACAAACTTCTGTGATGCGTGACACGGCTGTATCAAAGTTTAACAAGCTGCTTTTATTTATTTATACTATTTATACGTGTGTATATAGAAATCACAAAGCGGAGCTTTCAACAGTTCAGCATTTTCGCAGGTCTGGCAAGGAAAGTTTCACTGTCCGGAACAGATTTGATTCTCCATGAAATATGTTGTTAAATACGAAAATCTAAGAGACACGTATTTTTTTATTTTAAATTTTTTGTTAAACAATTGTTAAACAAAAAATTTTTTTAATTTGTTTTCACAACATTAAAGTACTCTTGAAACCGTACAACTTTTGTTTAAAAAATTTTTTTCCATCTTTTATACTTCCGACGATATTCGCCTCGAAAGAAAAATACCATTTTTTTTTCAAAGGGGTATTTCACCCCTTAAACATGAGTTAGGGCACGTATAAAAAAATACGTCTCTTAGATTTTCGTATTTAACAACATATTTCATGGAGAATCAAATCGATTCCGGACAGTTGTGAAACTTCCCTTGTGAGTCTAGATGTAAGTGTCGTGTTGCAAACATCCAGGTACATTGGGAGACACTTTGTCGAAAATCCAACGAATCTCTAAAAGTATTAAAATATCGAACATTGTCTGTACATTATCATATATATTCGCACGAATTACAATCTATGACACGGACAGCTGCGCGAATGACACAGTGAAAGAGGCGATAGCTAAAAAAGAAAAAGACTCAATTTCTCATTATTAATTAGAAAGAAAACGCGCGAAGGAACAGATTTTTTGTCCTTCTCCTATCTCTTTGCTTTTTCAAAAATTATAACAGGATTTAAAAATATTCCTAATTCTATTCCTAATTCTATTCTTCCTTTTTTGGAGAAACTCCACGTGCGTTCGTTTAAAACGTGTCGAATGTTTATGGGACAAGCGACACGTTTTCTATCGTGAAATGCGGGATGTCATCACGGATGTCCGTGATGTTGCTGCAGATTGTGCAACTCGTATGCGAGGTGACAGCACTCGGAGTCACTCCATCGATGATGGTCGCGGATCTTATCGACATTCGGCCCCGACGCATCCGACATCTAAGAGAAAAAGACAGTCATTCAACAGAGAACTAAATATTTTCGGGAAAGTACAAAATTATTACCTTTTTCTCAAAGAAAAATAAATTAGACAGCTACTCGTGCGAATTTCAAAAGCGATTAATTAATAAATAAATCAAATGACCATTTAGGGCTATATTTTAAAACGTCCTTTCCGAGGAAAATTTTACTCGATATAACGTAGTATACGTTACATACATATTACATATTTTGAGTAAAATTTTCTTTAGAGAGGATATGTTTTGGAATGTTACTTTAGAAATTACTATTGTTTTTTATGCCAATTATATTTTTTGGTATAATTATTAAAAGAAATAGTATTACATAATGTTCAAATCACATTTAATCTCATATTAAATATGATTTTGATAGAAGTGATAGAATACATAGAAATAACAGATGGAATTGGTGTAAAATTTTTACAAAAATTTAAATGTTAAATTTTTACAAAATATTTTTGATGCTTCCTGTATATTAAATTAAATAGAATTAATTTACAAGCGTATACGATTTTATTTTATTTTTATTGATTACTTCTGTTGATTTTATTTATTTATGTAATCGATGGATTGATTTACAATGTAAATTTTACATAATTGCAAAAATAAAAAAGTATATACATATTTTTTATTTTATATTATTTGCATTTTCGAGATTGATTGTTTTTGCTCGAGTTCTTCGTTAATTCATATTCATTCCACGGGCGATATTGAATATCAGAGCGCGATGAAGAAAAAAAAAGAGATACTTTATTGGCAACCGGATTATACCGAGATTATGCTGTACTCATGGATATTCGGGCAAAATGATGATACTTACCGAGCAAAAGGAGAGCAGTGATTGATGTGTGTACTTGCTGCACAGAGGCGATGTATGATGAGGGTGATGATCCTGCGTCGTCGGCTTCGTCGGCGGCTGGCCATTACCGGCGATCTCTAGATAGCCCCGGCTGCTCGCTAAACTACCTCCTCTCGTTCCAACATCTGCAAAATTGCATTGCGAGATTCGGAGGGATTTCATGCATTCGAGAACTTTCCTCTTTGCAACAACGCACGGTATTGATCAGTTCCTCTGACTTTGAATTTAGTCACTTTAAGGGCGCCAAACCGTCGCGATGCATCTGATTTCTCTCACAATGTATCGTGTTATACTATTTTTAGCACAGTTTAGAAATATTTCCATCTTAAGGCGATCAAGAGAGAGAACTTAACGTACTACTTAACTACTTATTACTTTAACGTAGCGAATTTATTAAAGTTTTATATCCTTACTTCTGTTGCGCGTTTATAGATTGAACTACGCATATGATATTTAATTATGATATCATTTATTATTAAAAAAATCATTAAATTAGGTAAAATTAAAAATGCATTAATCGTTTCAAATTGTATTTTACTTGAATTTCTGAAAGAGAAACTCGTTTAAATAATTTTGAAAATATTTGGCGGAAAAGTTTTAATCAGTGCAGCTCGTATTTTAATCATCTGTTAAAAAGGAATTGAGAATTAAACATTTAAACAGTAAGAGTAACTTTGATTAAACTGAAAACTAAATTAATTTATAATCGGTGATTTATCAAGTGATATCTTTTTCAGCAAACAAGCTGACGTTATTCATCATTTTAAATCAAATGACATCTTTAATGTGACAAATGATGACAAATAATGTCAACTTGTTTGTTAGAATGCTATTTTCTTGACATAAATAAAGTTTTTAATTTTATTTGATATACAGAGAGAAAGAGATCAGGAATAATAAATTTTATTCAAAAATTTATTTGGTTTTCAATCGCCCCGATTGAATCAATTATTAACTTTAGATTAACTTTAATCTCGGTTCAACTTATATTTCATCTTTTTTTTATTTATAGAAGTAGAAAATGATAAAGAGTTAGTTAAACTTTAAGTTAAAGATCAAAATTAAATTACATTGGTAGAAGTGGGCATTAATCAATTGCTTAAGTTAATCAGAGTTTGGTCAAAGTTGCTACAAAACACTACTTGAACGAAACACATAAGCTCAGTTCCACAACGCACGGTTAACTCTTAACCGAAATTCAACTTATTCATTGTCTTTCCCCAATTCTAGAATTGGAAAGAGATGAGAAATAAGTTGATCCTCGGTAAATAAGAGTTAACCGTCAATTGTGGAATTGGGCCATAGAGGGACACGACGTTTCGTAGGATTTAAGGGGACACCTTGTGTACTCGCCATCGAGTGGGTGGACCGACGAATAGCGCGATCCTGGTAAAGACAGGAGGGCGCCTTCCAGCGTGACTTCCACCACCTGACCCTTCTTGAATGCCGGCGACCACCGGATTTCGAGTTGTTGCAACTGCACGTGCTAACCGAATGCGTTGACGCTCTCTGGCCCCACCGAATTCCACGTAGACGTGTCCATTTGATGCCGCGAAATGTTCTCGATACCTCAGCTCTCACCTCGCCGTTTAGGAAGCAATACAGCACCGCCACGAAAAAGCCCTTCCGGGAACACAGAGATAATATCCCAATCGCCCTTTCGCTCATCGATTTTAATTCTCAGCAAAGCTTGGATCTTTTTCTCGAATGCAAATCTTCAGAAAACTACCATTCTTCATATAAATTGTAAAGAGATGCGAAATAAATATTATTTTATTATTTTATTTAGTCTCTCAAAAATATCCATTTGTTTCCTTTTTCTTTTGATAACCATGTTTCTGTCTGTTTATTAAAATTCTATTCATTCATTTAAAAATAAATGAATATTATATAAGAGAAAAAAATGTGAAAAAAATTAAGTATAAAGAATAATGATCTGAAACTAAAAATGAGAAAGAAAACGATAGAGAAAAAGAAAAAGAGAAGTACAATAAGTTCTAACAAATTTTAAACTCCATTATCTGAGCGGCTGTGTTTAAACGTTTCACTGATCAAAGTACCTACAAAGATATATAAATCCAGCAAGTAGCTTTCCGGAATAAATGAAATTATATAATTTAATTTTTCGAACTTTGTGGATTAATTAGCTCAGTTTTTGCACAACATCGTCCACTTTGTTGTTTAATGAGATGTAATTTATGATAATGCAGTTGAGTGCTCGATTTCTTGCGTAATAACTGCAAGACAGCTTGGCATCCAGTAAAGTAGATTAGTGCTATTAATAATTGCGCATTACCTGGAAAGATGCGAACAGCTGGTCGCAGAAGAGCCACACGACCTCTACGGTTTCGTTTACACCGATGCTGTACGACATAAGGATAAAGAACGCGTAGTGAACCCCAAAGAGCGGCACTAGGACCAACGTGCTTCTAGCCCATCGCCTAATAATCATTTTAAATTCATATAGTCAATTGTCTAAAATGATTTTAAGTACTTGTCATTTCATTAAAAATTCCATCAAAAAGAAATAATATTTTATATTATAGTGTATTTATATCAGCAATATAGATCATCTTCTATATATAGATCTTACTTGTATCTTTCCGTTTCCTCCGACATGGTAGATTTGAGTTTCACTAACAGTACTCTCACGATGTTGATGAAGAGCACGAAATTTATCTAATGTAGCCAAGGAAGAGCGAGTACGACTGAATTAATTACAAGCTCAACGAAGCATTCGCGAGATTCTTACCAAAATAGAGAGCATCGTGGGCACCCGTATGAAGAGGAACAAGAGAGAGTTCTCATTGGTTGTCCAGCAATATGTATCCTGGAATATGATCCTTGTCACTACCCAAGGTAAGATAAATATAGCTGGCAAACCTGTAAGACGAAGTTGTGACGATTAAATTTATTAAATGGACTCTAATACGCTTATCAATAATAAATTTCTGAGTTTCTCTCGAGAAAATAGGTACATAATTTATTAGTGCAAAGTCTTCTGACGTGACCCGCTGAAGTTTATAATTATAGAAAAAATATAAATATGTTCTTAAAAATTATATTATTGTTTAAAAATGAATAATTTTAAAATAATAAAGTTAAAAAAAATATCAATATGAAAGTACACATATACTTATATATTAAATAATACTACATATGCTTATAATTAAACTTATAACAAGGGAAGAAAGTGTTTTCCGATTTTAATGAATTTTTAATGTGTTGTTTTGTAGATGAGAATAAGCCACTAAATTTTTTTTGTACGTGTCTTATTGCACTTTTAAAAAATGAAGCATGATTTTGATAAATTTTTATTATGTTATTTTATAGATAAAATAAGATACATATATTTTTTTATTATTTGTGCCTTATCGCACTTTTAAAAGGTAAAGCATTTTTTACAAAAAATCAATTTTTTCTTTCAAAGCGAATATCGTAAAAACTGAGATAGAACAAAATGTTTGAAATAAAAGTTGAATGATTTTAAGAGTATTTTATAATTATAACGAAAAAACATTTTTAAATTAAACAATATTAAATCTTTAAATTTTTATTTCTTATAAGTAAAAACCATTTCATCTATATACAATTTTTTTAATATATAACAGTAACAATATATAAAATACCCTTGAAAAACTCAACTTTTATTTCAAACATTTTTTTCTATCTCTTATGGTTTCATCGGTATTCGTTTTGAAAGAAAAAACCAATTTTTTTCTGAAGGATTTCAACCTTTAAAAGGACAATAGATCACGTATAAAAAAATGCGTGTATTTTATTTAAGACTATAAAACATATACAACACATTAAAAGATTATTAAAATCGGAGGAGTATATAATATTTGAGTCCCTTCTTTAGAAAAAGATATCTTAATTATTTTAAATTAAGATAAATTCGATGTGAGGAAAACAGATGGGAAAAATATAATTTGCAATCAAGTTGGTAAATGAGAATACGGTGCGATATTTTGCGCAAAAATTTACAATATATTTGATACTTAATATTTAATATAGGTATAGTTAAAAATAAGAATGGAAATTTCGGCTATATTTTAAGCCGTTTTTATCGAATATTTCTTAAATTCCATGCTCTGGAATTGGGGCAAAAATCATTATTCCAATATGCCATTCCTAATTTTTCACCGTGATTGGAAATTCAGACTAAATCGGAAGGACAAGTGGATAGCCAAGGGCCAAAAGTGTAAAAATGCATAAATTTTTTTAGAAAAAACGTAAAATTCATAGTCATATTGGACGAGTCCAGCAATAGAATTATAAAGCGAGTTGAACGGAAATTAAAAATAAAATGAGAAAGTAATATGTAATAGATGGGAACAAGATATGTATAATAAAAAATACATAACGAATGAACATTTGAAAATCAAATTCAAATTTGATGCTTTTTTGTTGACAAAATTTGCAGCACATCGAAAATAAATTTTGTCAAATGCTTGCTACAAATTAATCAAATAATCAAATAACAAGAGCAATTTATTAATTCATACAAAAAGCCTTTTAATCTTAATAATTAAGTTTTAGATTAAATTCTTTGTAAAGAAGTATAAAAAGTTTGTTTTTTTAAAGTTGGTTTAAAAGTTTTATCTTAGTTTCTTAACATAAAACAATTTTAAAAGTAATAAAATAGCTAAAAATTAAAGAGCACAAAGTAAACTGGAACTAATGTAAAATGTAAAGTAGGACAATATAGGCTTACAACTAATGTGATTGGAACCTCGTAAATCCTAAGAGATTAACTATGACTTCTAAGAATAATCCTATTACTTACCCCATCCGAAAATGACGTAGCCCACAATGCTGGAATTAGCGTCAGTGAAGAGTGCCAGGAAGACCAGATTGTGCAGATATATACCTTCCATCAGAATCCAGGAGTAGTTTGCTAGGATGAAGTATTGCCACAGACTGGTGAATGTCTTGCATTGCCAATTGCTTTCCTTCTTATCGAGTAGCCAGTAACCTTCATTGACTTTGATCACGGCTTCAGCCACTCCGAGGCCGGACACGAAAAGCATGTCCTTCAGTAGCGCCATGAACGCTCGCATCACGAACGAGACGAATAGGTGCATGTGCAATATATTCCGAGGGCATCGTAATTTCCTACGTCCGATGGGAGACAAACTTGAACGTGGCAACGCGAATTACGTTTCGATTAGGAGGTGCGAGATTTTATGCGGCGCCATGAAACACGATCCGACTTTGAAATGAAAGCGATCGTGCTTGATGAGAAAATCCCAGTGATCTTTAAGGTTTGAGATTTTATATCAGCGTAAATAAATGCTAAAATTTATTGTTTATTCAGGGGCAGCCCTGACGTCAAACTCTTTATTTTACAATGCAGGTGTATTGAAAATATAAGGGAAATATAGGTATAAAAGTATGCGATAAAGATGCTTTAGAAGAAGAGATGGCTAATAATAATTTTTTAAATAACAAATTATGTTTAAAAAAATGAAAAATGCTAAAAGCGAGGCGCCTTGTTTTGCAATTATGTGTTAAAATTATATTTACATGAATATACTTACTTGATGGTGGCCAAAATGCAAAACGCAATGATGAGAGTGAACAGCGAGATAGAGTAGCCTAGTTTCGAGATAGTCTTCACGACCGGTAAGAATGTCTATAACATGCAATTGCGTTCTAAATGGGAAATAATCAATTATTAATATACAATTTATTCATAAATATAATTAATAAATTAATAAAACGACAGCGCATGCATTCGTATGCATTCGTGATTGATTATAAAATTATTATCTATAGTTTAAAAAAATTTTAAACGTTTATAAAATAATTAGAGAAAATTTCTATGAAATGTTGTTATTAATTAAAAATATAAATAATTTTTAAAGTTGACGTTAAATTATTAAATCAACTTATTTAAGTAATTTTAAGTGCGACTTTTACCCTAATTAATTTGTTGGCGGTAACTTTAACAAAGCTTCCTAAAATGTCATCATATAATCTCTATGAGAAAAGTAAATTATGAAAGTTTGAAATTGAGTTTAATTTACAGCTGTCGTAAATCTTTCCTAATTCTGTACAATATAAATTTCTACTGCATCCCTTATAGAAATTTATTATTAGTACTGGACTGGTCAATTAATTATTTATTTTGGGTATTAGAAGAATTATTAATAGTGCTTTTAATACTGAAAATAAGTGATTAATTAGCCAGTCCACAATACTAATATTAAATTTCTACAAGGGATGTATATTAACGGCATTCTTTGTGTCATTGTGTATTCCCTTTTCATGCTGCTAACTTTATGATCTTCAAGAAGATCATTTGCTATTATGTTATTCCGTCATCGCTTTACGAAAGCTTTACTCTATGTTCTTCTATATAGTCGTTCTATATTCACATATTAAGTAAGGCGTTTTCATCGTATGTGTTCACATTAAATTATGGTAAAATTTATATTAAATTTGTATTAAGGCTGTCAATGTGTTCCAAGTGAATTAATTATTGAATCCTTTAAATTACCGAGTAATTTTAGTAAATGTTCCTAAAATTCTGACTGGAAATTATTTGGACTGAAAGTTATTTTCTACTTTTTTTTTCAAACACTGATCGTTACAAATTGAAAAGGTGATAAAAAGGCAGATAGGTGATTATAATTGAAGAAACAGGATTCATTTTAATTTTTTCGTAGTTGGCGTCGCAATGATAACGTTACGCGGTATGTGTAAATATCACTTGATCTTAAAAATTAAGCGCAGAGGTCTCGGTAGAAAAATTCTTTTCACTATTTTCCACCAGACCTCTTCGATAACATCGTTACAACGTAACAATTGGCTCATTTACTCTCCCGTTCATTATGGTCCAAGTCTGGAAATTAACTCTACAGCAACGTCTCGGAGTTCTCGTGAACAATGCAAAGCGTCGCAACACTCTCCCCGTTGGATAAAACGTCGTTTATAGCTCTCATTTCCTCGTGAGTAGAGTAACTGACGTCATGTCGCCGTGTGATTCCGATCGATCTTTTCATCTCCGTTATTTTCTGCATGGTGGTGTCGCCGAAACTCGGCGGAAGATTTTATTGTTCCAAATTTATTTGTCCTCTTCTATATTTTTATCGCGACGAATAATTTATTGTTATTGTTCTTTATTTATTTACCTTAATAAGAGTAGCATTGTTCGTTTCTACATTCGACATGTTCACCAGGACGGTGACTAGCGGCTCTCGGTAGCACTGGCTAAAGTTGGTCCAGAAGCTTTGGGTTTTGACGTTCCAGTACCATTTGCCGTTCGGCATGCATTGCTTCGAAGCGAATGCCTGAAAGATGCACTGCTTCTTGACTATGCACTCTTCCATCGATTTGATAATAATTATTTCTTAAGAAAAATAATCGAAATACACCACCTCTCTGTCTCTTTATCTATGAGACAGCATACTGCACTGAGAGAAAAAAAAGTTTTACACAGAACGATTTTGCTGATGTAGCTAAAAATTTAGATACTAGATAAAAATAATTTTGTTGGACCATCAAAATATTTTATAGGAATATATGAGCAATGTTGCAAAATGTTTTAATAGTTTAGTAACCAATTTTAACGTCTTGCATAATTATTTTGATAATCCAGCAAAATTATTTTCAGATTTGTATCAAGATAAAATTTTAGATATTTCAACATAACCGTTCTTTCCGTGTGACGACTATAAATTGACAACTCTAAAATTTAAATATATATATATATCTGCAATTAGTTTTATCAAGTAAGAACTAAAGTACTGAGTACTACATTTTTATAGTGCTATATTATATTTTTATAGTATTTTTATAATACTATAAAATACTACTTTTTAAAATTCTTATTAATTTGTAAAACTAGTTGCAGTTAAATTTTAGTTGTCAATTTATCGTAATTGGCAAAACTATTTTTTTTCTCAGTATGGAACAGAAATTTTGAAATTACATTTCAAATCAATTTTGTTTGAGATAGAATTTTATATATTATAATACGTGGATCATCTGCAAAGGTATTCAAATACGAGTAGAAAAGTCGTACAATAAGATGACTTATCGAAATTTTGCCTGAGAAAGAATGGAGCTCGAATTCGTCGAGGAGTCGTTCGGACACGTCGCTGAATAGTGTGGGAAACATTTCAATCATTGGATTTAAAGAATAAAGATTTTATCGTCTATTTGCGAGAATCTTACGGCAAAGAACAACGTTATTAGGTCGGAAAATTAATCTAATTGAGTTTCTCGCGGATCTAAATGAATCTTGATATTAATTCGTTCTGATAGCGTTATTCTATATTGAATAAAATTTCGCTGTTCGAAACGAGCGTGAAGTAGTTTCCGAAGAGTCTACATAGATCTAAATTTTTAACATGATCTTGATTACATACGTTAGCGTCGAAACCCATGATGTAAGAGGCGCACTGCTGAACGACCAGTTGTCCAGGTGCTGTTGAGTTCCAACATAATATCCCGTCCCAAATCTTGGGACACCAACCTGAAAAGATCGCATCAAAATATTAGCACGAAAATAACGAATCTGGAGCAGCAAAATAATTATTACACTGAAAAAAACTTAATTTTAATAAATATTTGAATAATTCTAAATAAATATTTACTAAATATAAGCATATATTTATATTTCATACAAAAATTATTAATTTAATTTAACTTTCATTTTGTATTGAGTACATATTTATTCATTGTAAGTAAATGTTTACTTACAATTAGTACTACTTAAAAAAATATGTATTAAGATTTGGTAATTTTTTTTCAGTGCATTACATGTATATAAATGATAATGCATAATTATATATATGAATATGCGAGGAAAATATAGTTGAAAACATTCTGTCTCAATGTTTTTACTTTTTCGGGACTTATACAGTCCTGTGACAAATTTTTAATTACAAATGTCGAAAAGATATCACGTAGATATTTTATACAAAATCCTTTATGTATCTGTAGAGCGTTTATAAACCATATTCATATACGATATATAAATATTCATGTCAATTTGTATGGATTTCTGGTGGCACGATCCGATAGCTATGGAAATAATGAATCTGACTCCTCGACGCACGGTGAGAGTCGCAATATAGATCCGATTATAGATATATCCCGTTGCATTATTATTAAATGTGTTGAGCGTTCAGCCATTGTTATAAGCGGTGACGAGAATAATACGTGAACCGCTGGGCAATCGTGCAGGACATTGTTTGCCGTTCAAAGCCAAGTGCGAAATTCGACATGGTCCTCCAGAAAGCTGGTCTTTCAGCACTGACGCGGCTTATAGAAATAGAAGTCCATTAGGTCTTGGAGGTCCGCATGGAATTGCATTTAGTCGTATCCCCATATGTTAAGTATTACGCGCCCACGATTCTATATACGAATAGTACACGAAGCAGTATAAACTTATTTACTTGAAACAATGTACTTGATATTATATCGGCATATGCATTATATGTGCATATAAACTGTAAATTATGCCGCCATGCACAATGTATTTCCCTTGCGTGTCATATATAATAATAGCTTTGTTGAGAATGTGAGAGAAAAATATTAATGGGAGTAGATATTAATGGGAGTAGATATGCATCAACAGATACATTCAAAAAGCGAGAAGGAAAGCACGTAAGCTCCTTTGAAAGCACTGCTTTTCGATCGGAGCCAAATATTAGCATTTGAACTAACAAAGTTTGCACAAACATATTTGCCAACTTGGGCATAATTTCGTAAAGGCATAAAGTAGTTCAAAACTTAATAATGATGTGTGTTTCTTTTGTGCCTTCTTTCTAGTACTTTAAAAATGTAATGTAGAATCTTTAAACGAGCATTTCCGCTTTTTCGATATTTGTAACCTTATATTTGTTTCAAATAAGCTATCAAGTACACAATTATATTTTAAACTTAATAACATTTGGAAAAAAAACATTAAAAATAGTTATTAAAATAATAATTAGGGAAATGCATGGGACTTTAATTAAACCAGTGAATAGAGTCATCAAATTTTTCATTATTTACATAAAGCTGTTTAATTTGAATTCTAATAAAATCTAACAAAATTTCTTTTGGGAATTTAAATATGATATTTAATAAAACTTTTTTATTTCTGAAATACTTGTATATTAAATGAAAAATTAAAATTTTAAATTTTAAATTTGAACTCATATCCTTTCTGCACAAAAAAATTAAAAATTTTATAGTAAGCTACAACATATACTTTACTTATTTCAAATTATCTTTCTTTATATTACACAATAATTATTTCTCTTTATGTTAAATAATATGCGATTATACGAAACAATTTAAAAAACACTGTAATTAAAACTCTATTACAATATCTCTCCTGATTTAATCATTGGTCATTAAAAAATTTTATTAAAAAAGCTTTCACATTCTGATGTAGCATTCCATTTTTAAATATTGAACCTTGCGAGTTCTAGACTCGTACCTTATTTATACTCATTACTCATTTTTAATATCTATTTTAAGTCTTTAAAAGTTTGAGACAAGTGCTCTATTTGCAATGAAAGTATTTCTACCCATTTTAAGATCAATAAGAGAAAAGTTTATTTTAAAAAAATTTTATTTATATCTCTTTTCTACATTTAACGATTTTTTTTATTTATTTAAAATCTGGGCACTCCATAAATTATGTATACAAAAATAAAACTGAAACGAAACATATTTAAAAAATTATAAAGAAATTCACGAGACTTCATATAACGTATATTAAGGCTAATAAAAAAGTTCATGGTTCAATGTGTTTAAAACCTGAGTATAATAGTAATTATGCATAAATTATGCACGATGGTAAAATCGAATTATGTAAAGTGATGGAATTATGAAAGGCATTTCTAACTTCGTATAATTGTGAACTACTGTATTGATATCGTAACATTAAATTTTTATTATCAAGCTTTGTTTAAATTTTTTGCTTCTTATAATGATCGCAAAGAATAAAATTTATCAAAGTTCTTTGCTATTATCTTCATTTTAACTTTAATTAATCCGGAGTTAAAGCGTTCTTCTCCTTTGAATAGACTGAACTGTGGATAGCTTTTGAAAGGTTTCTGAATGCGTTTAATTATATTCCATCTTAATAACTTAAAGGACTTAACGTACAACGATTCAAGTTTAATAAAACAACTTAATCATCAATGGAATTTAGCGTGTTAAGCAACTTCGTTGTGTAACTTCCTTTTGTAAGACGGCACAATAAATGAAACTCACTAAACTCTCGCCTGGATTTACAATGCCGCTTGTGTAATTAATGGTGGCACCCTAGCTTTGCGTTTGATTTCGAGTTGCTGAACGGGCTAGCATCGCGATGCGAGATTAATTGCGACGTTAATTGCTCCAGAGACATTCTATTGCTATTGTTTACTCACGCGCGTGTGTACACACGCAGAAACGCGAAACGTGTGCTGTGACACGTGCGAGAGAGCGCGGTTAACATTAGTCCGTGCATCGTGTGCGTCGGGTGCATCATCTTTCGATTTTCCCGTGGCGTATCATGCAAGTTTATAACCTGTTGATTTTCAATTGTTTACTGTCGCCAATGCCGATTATCGGAATCGCGCGATACTTTCAACAAGCATCGCAAATTATTTTGTTTTCCTCCGCGCGAAATTATTTCGTGCAGAAGCACGAAGAAATCGAATTATCCTGCGATTTGAATTTTCTCTCGTTATACGCGATAAAAGTAGAAAAATAAAATATCTCCAAATTTCGGAACCGTCATTACATCATGTAATAAAAATGTTCAAATGACGTCAATATAATGCGAGTAATAATAATATTTAAACTCACAAAGTCCGTAAAAAAATACATATATAGGGGAAGGTCTCCAATACCGATATACCACTATTTGTTTTTAGACAATATTTCTTGAACCAAAGGTAAAAATACAACTTCAAAAACATAAATACAAATTAAAAAGTGTCTTCTATCAGATAGTATAAGCAGTTTTTATAATACTGTTTGCAATTTTGTAATAATTAAGTTTTTCGTAAGTTGTGCAAAAATGAGCGTCTGACAAAATGGGCTCTAAAACTGATATAGTAGGCAATAATGCCAACATTACTATTTTATAAATAAAGATATATTCTATTCTATAAAGAAAACTAATTTATGAACCTATAAACATTTAAAATGACATAATATTATCAATAATACAGTCACTATTATTTTAATTACGCAATTTGCAAAAGAACACCGTCAGAATTTTCTTCTCGGATTCATAGAATTTGTTTTTAGCTGATTTGGTATAGAAATAAGTCACAAATTCATATAAATTATGAATTTGTACTTCTTTAATTAGCTAAACAGATTACGTTTTTATTAGTATTAATAAAGTGCAAAGGTTAGTTTCTAAGAAATAAGGGGATGTCGCTTTAGGAAACCTATGTCAGTATCGGTGACCTTTCTCTACATATTATTAATATGTAACGTTTCTAAATAGTGGAGAAATTAGTGTAATTATTTATGATCCTATTACAAATGATAATTATTCATAGTTTGTGATTGACCATGCATGTCACCTTTTTCCTCTCGTTTCCAATATAATTAAATGACCCGTACTTGCCTATTGACTCTATTGTATTTATTCAATGACTAACAGCAATATTAATTAAAACGGATGATATATAACGAGCAATTGTAATTTTCACGCAATACAGAGGCAGACACGAGTAGAATTCACAGGCATGTGAATAGAGGCATTTATGAATGATACGAAGCAGTCGGCGAGTGAGATTCGCAGCAGGCGTCGTATTCAAGATCGTTCGAGCATGTGTTAAGTCTTACTACTAGACGCGCTCTTTTATAATGGAAATCATACCGCATGACATATCGCAATCGTTCTCTTTGAAATATCAATAGCATTCGACTAGCGACGATATTTCTCGTGCGTTTCGTTTTTTTTTGAAATATTATTCTATTCTGCTCACCTGGTTCCAATATATTTCCAAGTTTGCAACGCTTGGCTTCCGATTCCAATCTATCGTCCATCAACTTCATTCGGTCGATGACATCATTCCTCTGAAACTCGATGTAAATATAGATTAATATACGCGTGTACATATTATAAAGTAAACTCCGATGTCTACGCTACGCGAGAATTTATGCTGCAGAAGTAAAAAAGTAGGAGTGAAGGTAAAAAAATAGCAACCACTCTGTTATATTTACGTTCCCTGATAGCAAATGTTAGCAATTTGGGGCCAAATTGGCAGAAAACTCCATCAAATTTTGACTACAAAATCATAGCCATCTGTGTCCACATTTGGCTATGGATTTGTCGACAAAGCCTGTTGACAGGCTATGCCAGCAGAGTGGTAGCAGAAACCGAGCAGAGTCTGTTCGAACCAGGTTCTGCTCTCAATCTGCCGTGAGGTTATGCAAGACTTTGCTCAGTTTCTGCTACCACTCTGCTGGCATAGCATGTCTAGCAAGCTTTGTTATATTTCTGGCAGCAATTTGCTGACAATGTCAGATAATACAAATTCTGTATACAATTTGGTGCCTTTCTGTAATCAAAAATTGGTAGCAAACTCTGTTCAATATCTGTTTCCGCAGGCTTTGCTATCAGGGTTATTAATAATGTATATTAATACTGTTTTGCAATTTCAGTTTTTCATGTTAATATTAATGAAATCATGGTGAGTTGAATTAATTTGTCAATGCAATAAGTAGTGTAACCACATATCGCAACCTACTTAAAATGTGTTTACTGTAGGGACTGTAAACGGTTTAGTAATTATTTCATGACATAAATGTAGAGGCATAGTAAACATAGAAAATAACAAAATACAAGTGCTTAGCTCTATTAGTTTTCCCATAAATCTAATTGTAAATCACAGATCCCTTAAATTTTCAATATGATCTCGTCCGGGAAAACAATACATTTTGAGAAAGCCGATTTTGATAAATTATGAAGGACCATGTATCATATTTAAGACGATAACGTGTAATGTCTACGATGGGACTATCCTCGTGACAAAATTATCGACAGAAGTACGAAATTATAGCTAAAGGAGATAGAGTTAAAGTAACGTTGTAGTTAAAGCAAGATTATAGCAATTTCAGTTCAGTCCAAAGATTTTCTCATTTATTTATTTGCACAATACGTATCGTGCGTTAATTTCACTCGATTATACACTGACAGAAAAAAAAAATGGTTGGAATAACCATAATTTAACTATAATTTATAGTCATTTTTTGGGACAACCATAAATTTATAATTGTTTTGATCATATGAATTATAGTAACCGGAATACTGAATTATGATCATAACAACCATAATACATATTCAACTACAATAATTGTATGGCTATCTTACACATAAATCTTTGCATATAGTAAATTATACTATAAAATGTTGTAACTAAAACATATAACGTTATTGTTACTAATATTGTAGTAATAATAACTATATATAAAATGATGCTTCTAATTATGATTATTTTACCATGTAATTATAGTCACAAATACAATATACTTTTTTTTCAGTCACGTCCATTCATTTCATATCCATTTGTTGGATATGAGTTAACATTTTTCGTCTGAATCAGAGGATATAGATTTTCTCGGTATTATCTCGGCTAATATACATAAAATACTTATAATATGTAGGTATAATTTATTTTTTTATACAACGTTTATGAAATGTTTGAAACGTTTTCTAACTCTTTTTTTCGATACATTTTAGATAGAAAATTCGTTAAATAAAGTCAAGTTAAATAAAACAATTTTGCTTTAAATCGAGCTACGGTTATCGCACAAATATTTCGAGTCTCCGTATTTAATTTGCCTATCGATGTGTATTGAATCGGCATATTGAAATGTGAAAACGCTCTGGAAACGTGAAAATGCACGAGACACGCTAACTCGCGTCAGTTTCCATGCGTAAGCGAAAAGCGAAAAGTTCACTCCGAACGAACACCTTTGTGATTTTTAACTCGGTAAAGCCGATATCTTCTGCCGTGCTCGTTTTAATAACTTTTTTTCTCTTTTGTTCCCGTTCGGAATTCGAGAAATTCCACGATTCGTTTTCTCATAGCGAGAAAGAAAAATATACGCCAAAACTAAAGGCTTATCAAACGGTATACTTCTCTATTTTTTGAAGCATATATTCAAAAGTATTTATCGCCGTTTCGCGCAAATTTTTATTTCGGAATAGAGTTCGTTGTTAGGTTTATGAAAAAAATCACTTTCCTGTCGTTTTCCGCTTACTTTTTTGCAGGATACGAAATTAATTAGCATTAATTAAATTTTTTTCTCCTATCATAGCCCTACAAGCAATTTTTAAAAAGAGACAGAGTATTAATTAAATTATGGAAAAAATTTAAATAAGTAAAAAAAAATTGATGGATAACTTTCCCTTATAGGATAAAACTTTATTACCTCTCCTTCTACTCTCTTTATTTTTAAAAGAAGTATATATATATATATATACACACACACACACACTTATATTCTGAGACCAAATAAAAAAATTAGTATGTACAATTAGAGAATAATTGGTCGCATTTAGCAGAATTTTATCTTGCAACTGTTGGAAGTTTTTTTCGCTGATTTGATTATATTTTTAGATTTAGAGGAATAGGGGAAACCCGGGCAAAATGGATACCCTAAAGTTTAAGTGCTTTAAGAAAACTACTGTTTGATGGATACAAGAAACAATGTGCTAATTTTAATTGTATTTTATTAAAGGTTAAAATATAATAAATAGAACTTTTAAACATTTGATAGTTTTAAAACATTAATAAAAGATATGGATATAGGCAAAACTATTCGCTTTGCCCTAATATCTGGGTAAAGCGGATAGGGAGACAGGGCAAAGTGAACATCGATAGATACAATACATTTATGTACCATTAACAAGTTAATGAATTAATTAAAAGATTAATATATATATATATATTTTAAGTTCGCTATATGTTTTCTAGTTGTTTTCTTCACAGAATTTCCAGATTTGCATTCTCTAATGGCAAGCTGCATAGATTTCTCATTCCATTGGCCTTGATTAGCTTTTCTTTTACAATTACTGACCCTCTATAATAATAAAGGATGAAAAATGTAACAGTCAGAAATAATAGCGCAAACGACAGTTAAGTGACGGACAAAACGAATAGTTGACCAGCAAACTGGATTCACCTTGCCCGGTCCATTTTGCCCGGCAAGGACTTTTTGAAAAGCAATCAAAATAAAATCAAAGCCAGTAGCAACTATTGTACGAAATTCATGGCAAATCAAGACAAACACATGCACTTTAAGAACACAATATAACAATTACAAGTAATCCTACAAAAGTGAATTAATCTACTTATACAAGGAATCCTACGAAAGATTTCATGAAGAAAATCTCACCTTGAAATATTGAAAGTTTATCGTCGATTTCGGATTTTATGTTCTCTGCATCCACATGCAGTGCGTTCTCCTAATAACTCAATTACTTGCGACAGATAGGCAATAGACGGATGAGATTGTGTTTGTTTCAATTCTTGCTAACATATAGTTTACGAGTAATGGCGAGTGTTCGCTTTGCGACCCGATACCCGGGGTATCCACTTTGCAACAATTGTAAAATAAATATCTGTTGAACACGGTTGATATGAAATTTGGAATAAATTTTGAAAATATTAATTATTTTTACTTTTTATTATCATTTTAATCCTTTAATAATTTATATAACATTTAGGAATAAAATAAGTACATGTATTATCCGTATGTTCTATCACGCTACGATATTTTTAAGTTTTGTTTCAATTCCTTCTAAATCATAATCGTCATTTAGATGACGATCTAAATCTATATATAAATCTAAACGGACCAATTGTGTTATGATTATAAATGACAAATTGTTAGAATTTACATATCTGTTAAACAGTAATAAATTAAAAATTGTTTCTTGATTAAAACTTTTTGGCAAATATCAGTATTGTATAAAAAGCTCTCGAAAAAAAAAGTTGCGTTAGTAACAATTTATTGATTTAAAGAATATATTGTGTGTTATATAGTACAATATATATTCTCTTTCACATTGAATTAAATAAAACAGAGATTATTATTTTTTGAATAATATTTAACAAATTATATTTCAGTAATCATTTAAATAAAATTACTTAAAATTATATTACAATAATTTATATACATATTATGCAATTATACATTACTTCGGCATGTTTTATATTTTTGTAAGAACTACTACTAAATTATCTTATACATTATTCTATAACTGTTCCAATAAAATATCAGAGACATCGCGTTATGAATACATCCTTGAGGAGCCCTTCTCTGTTTTACATTTATGATACCTCCATTTACTTTCTTTTATCATATTATCTATATTTTATATGCTTTTTTTCGTCGTCTTGCCGTCGCCTCGACGATGCAACAATTCTGTCTGACGACGTTCCTGATTGTATTACTAAGGCGGACATTTATATTCAGAAATCCTTATTACATTGATAATTTTTTTATGAATTGGCTTTTTAAGATAAAACAAAGTTAAGAATTACTGCCAGCAATCAATAATCGAATCTGTTTGCGCAGTATAAATGTTGATATAAAGCTAAATGAATTAATATGCAAAACGGCATCGTTACATACATAAATTATAACTACGAAATTGTACATTTCCTGTGAATATAATATTTACGAATAATTTATACATTATAATATCAGCTTATTTGAGATCAAACTTATTAATATTATTATTATTCTCAATTATAATAAAGCATAACAACAGCTTATTTAAACAAAAGTTGGCGTCGGTATGTAGTTACATAGCTGATATTACAAATATATTGTATTTATAAAGGTTGACATTACGAACGTCCACGCTGTTCTGAGCAACTTTATGTGGCTCTAGCTTCCATAAAAAAAAAATGGAAAGTGATGAAACACGTAAAAGCGATTTATAGCTATTTACGGTTATTTCTTTCAGGCGCATAACTATCCATCCAGAAATCTTCCAAATGGTTTCATAGTTCGCTGAACATTTCTCCTACTATCGTCTTCCCCATTGCGATGGCGAGACA